TGACTGCTCGTATGAACGGCGAGCCCATATCGGTGGAGGTTGATGATAGCAGACGACTCGGTTGTGGGGGTCCTCGGGCGTACTTTGGTATGCTGCCAAACAACACTCTGTGTGAGATCACTTTGGATGGTAAAGAGACTATTCCAGTTGAGAGAATGTCCGGTATAATACCACTAGATATTGCTATCGATAAGGGAATGATGTTCGTTGCTGATGACGTTACTAAGAGTATTGTACAACTACAGTGCGCAGAGGAGTGAATACTCATTGTAGAATCATGTTGGGTTGTAAAGTATTCCGGGGGAGACGAAAGCATGGTCGTTGTAGTGAATGACGACGTTGCTGTGAGTATAGACTCGTCTAGAGAAACCAGGGCGGGGGGGGATGATAGGAAACATTTCTATTGGAAGTATATTCGAGGAAAGCTATTCATGTAATTCTTCAAGTTGAAGGTTATGTAACTATATATGTGGTATAACTGTGGTATGTGTTCAGTCTGGACGTAAGGAAAGCCTGTATGAAGTTCTTGACCATGATGAACACAGAACGAAATGGTTTTATAAGCAACACCGTCGGAGCTGTTCAATTTGCCACAGCTTTACACGCGAAACGTGAGCTGTCGATTTTACGCGGACATTATGATGTTAAATGTGTTTGTTTTATTACGAGTGAAGCTCCACTTCATTGGATGAACTCATTGCGACCAGCAAAATTTCTTTGAAAATACCGAAACTCTATGAACTGGGGTAATTTTAGGATTTTTTTTCGAAATTTTAGGGAAAATCACTGAGTGAGAAGTCTACGGTATTATAATGTTGTTGTTGAATTTGCTATAGGAAATTATGGTCACCACAAACGTCCCTAATAGGAGTCTGTACGTGGAGTTTCACGGGCGGCCGTGATATGAAAAGCACTGGTGGAAAACATATTTCACGACTACTGCATATCACCGCTAATATCGCGTTTTTCACCGAGTTTTACGCCAAATCGCGTAAAACGGGTCGTGAAACTCCACTGATAACTTTTGGCAGTTCATTAAAAACCGTCCGTAAAATTTTTTAAAAAGATGCACATTTTCCCGGAAGTGGGTAAATTATTAAAAATTTCCGGCAAAATTCTAAATTGACAACGACATTTCTCATGGGAATTCAGACGTATCTGCTGATGGTGTCGTCACTTGAAATGTACCAAAAAAAGAATTTCCGACATTATAAGAAAAACTTCATTTTTTCTGATTTTCCTCAAAGTCTTATTCTCGCCACTTTCACTATAATATTTTAAATGTTATTACGACTATCGTCAACACCGAGACTTCCCAACGGTCTGTATGCGTTGGTGACCAGTAGGTCGTTTAGAGTGCGGGGTCGGGTGAAGCGAGGAGAGCTCATAGAAAACATCCCTATTGAGCGACTCGATGCTGATGGTATGTTCGAGGAGAGCAATAGTGTTGTTGATGGTCATCGTTAGGTAACGGTCGAACAACTCTTGAATGGAATAGATTTCGAGGCTGTTCCTTTAACGATACGGAGCTCGTCGTACCCGGTGCACTACCTGGAGAGACTGTCACTGTGAAGATTGGCGGAGTAAATATGAAATGCATTTATTTAGATCGA